TTTTTTTTAAGAGACAGGGTCTTGCTCTGTCACCCAGGTTGGAGTGCAGTGGTGTGATCGTAGCTCACTAAACCTCACACTCCTGGGCTCAAGCAACCCTCCCACCTCAGCCTCCTAAGTAGATGAGACTGCAGACACACACCACCCCGCCTGACTAATGTCTTTGTTTATTTGTAGAGATGGGGTCTCGCCATGTTGCCCAGGCTGGTCTCAAACTCCTGGCCTCAAGTGATCCTCCTGCCTTGACCCCCTAAAGTGTCGGGATCACAGGTGTGAGCCACCACGCCTGGCCAGAAACCAAACATTGTAACTGTTGGGGCTGGGAACACGATACTCCGAAGTATGGCACCAAAGTATGGCTCTTTGGCGTGTGAGCACCTGTGACTGAAAGACTGGAAGGGCCTCAGGCAAGGTCTCTCTGACCTTCTCCTGCTTCCCGGTTTTTCTTTCTCCCCCAGTGAGTCATGGGAACCAGAATTCCTCTTCCCAAGAGTGGGTCGTAGAAAGTAGAACTCCTCGTCTGTGGCCGAGCGTTGCTCCCACCTGTGACCCCAGAGCTAGAACTCTCTCTCAACCCTTAAAGGCCAGAAAGGTCCCTTCTCCCTTCTCCCTTGAAGACCCTCACTCCAGAGGGTCCTGCGCCCTGCGGGGTGGGTTGGAGGGGGATGCTGCACAGAGACTAGGAAGACCCTAAAGAGACAGGCCTTCCTGGGTTCCGCTCAGTCTCTTAGATCGTGTACTTTTGTCCAGTCCCATTTCTACACAGCCGTCCGTTCTTCGTTGAACCTAAGAGTTAAAATAGAAGGTTTTCCTGAGGTCTTTGGTTCTGTCAGAATCCCGGGTTTCGGCACCAGAGGTGTCAGTGTGGGAGTCCGCCCTCGGTTCTTGGTGTGCTCGTGGCCAAAGAATGACCAGACCCACCAAAGTGTCGAGTCCAGACTATTATCCCAGTCCCCTGACTGCTTTCTTGGAAAAATCACCAGCAAGGCCAAGACGACGGAATCACCTCAGGCAGGAGCAGCTTCACGGGAGCAGCTCTTCATTGTAGAACAAAACGGGTCCGTCTCTGCGAGTGGAGAGAGACAGACCCACTCACTGACTGACCCACTACTCACGTCCTCCTGATTGCTTGAATTGTTTCCTCTCATCAGGCCAGTCCAGAGCAGGGCTTTTGGGAGGTGTGGGATGTTATCAAGTGATCAACAGGTGTCCTCCAAATTCCATGTGCGCATATATACGAGCTCCCTCTATGAAGGCCCACCTGGAGGGGGAGGTAAACTGCAATGCAGATTCAAGCTAATGGTGTATTAATTACCCTTAGGTTACTCTAGGTCAATTTCTAAATCTTACCATGCCTGGGCTGGGAATTCCTGGATTGACAAGGCATTCCCTCCTTCCCCAGCTGTGGCAGTTGGTCGGGATAGGATTAAGTGTGGGGCAACACAAAAATAGAGTGCCCGCCTATCCTTCTTCCCAGATGGAGCAATTGCTTGAAACAGCACCAAAGCAGGGACCCCTTGTCCCAAGAAGAGCCGGAGACCCTAACTATCTACCTAAGAGGTCTTCGTTTCTGAGGGC